ATGACGGTGATCCGACGGTACACGGCCACCTTCACGTGTTCCTTCGAGCTGTACTCGTACCCGTTCGACGTGCAGGTGTGCGGCATCGACCTCATGCTCCCCGCCGACTACGAGGGCTACGTGGAGTTCTCGCAGAAGGAGGGGCAGGTAGTCTACGCGGGCAAGAAGGAGCTGGCGCTGTTCACCGTGAAGGGCGTCCGTTTCGCCGCGGACCAAGGGAAGGACCGGCTCAGGGGCGAGTTCGAGCTGCACCGTCGCCAGGGGGTGATCCTGCTCACCACGTTCTTGCCCTCCGTGCTCCTGCTGTCGGTGAGCTGGGCGACGCTCTTCGTCAAGCTCAAGGACCTGAACGTGCGAGCCATCATGTCCCTCACGACTCTGCTCGTGCTCTACACGCTCTTCGCGCAGCTCTCCAGCTCCCTCCCCTCCACCGCCGCCATCAAGCTCATCGACATCTGGTTCTTCTTCATCATCTTCCTGCTCTTCTCCAACATCATGGTCCACATCTTCGCCGAGAGACTGGGCAGAGAGGAGAGCGCCGTCAAAGTGGAGCCCAAGGGAAGGTTCCGGGCGTGGCAGGCGAGGCAGCCGCCCGCCGAGAAGCTCCTGGCGGTGCAGAGGTTCGTCGTCATCCCGGGAATCATCGTGATTTTCAACATCGTGTTCTGGTGGCAAGTGTTCACGCAGTAAGCAGCGCGATGCCTCTCTCTCTCTCTCTCTCTCTCTCTCTCTCTCTCTCTCTCTCTCTCTCTCTCTCTCTCTCTCTCTCTCTCTCTCTCTCTCTCTCTCTCTCTCTCTCTCTCTCTCTCTCTCTCTCTCTCTCTCTCTCTTCTCTCTTCTCTTTCTCTTTCTCTCTCTTCTCTCTCTCTCTCTCTCTCTCTCTCTCTCTCTCTCTCTCTCTCTCTCTCTCTCCCTCTCTCTCTCTCTCGTGTGTGTGTGTGTGTATGTGTGCGCGCGTGTGTGTGTGTGTGTGTTCGTGTTCTTAAATTTGTTGATGTTATTGAATTGGAATATAAATATAATTATCGAAATTATGCTACGAATAAACATCAGCTACACTTCAAGAGTATCAATGCTCATGATGTCGGTACTTGGTATAATAATAACCTTCAACACTCATTTATATCCTATTAGGCTGCACTTTCTTAGAAATAACAATCATGCAATAATATTTAAAGTAAATACTGGAAAAATCGTCAAACCGCTAATAAATGTATGTATTAGTAAACTTCTCTGTAATCATAGTGTATCTTTCATACTTTGATGTTAATTGATATAATCATCTGCATCATGCATGTTTAACAGTGTTCATTTATATCATATTGATATGTAGATACTGATATTACACAGTATCATGAGGAATCTTTCTTATGCATTTCCTGTTTAGCCTTGTACTATACTCTTTAATATTGCAATTTACTATACATATTCCATTGGCTAAATAAAACTACTTGAATTAGCTTTTTAATCCATTGAAAAGACAACGATCTCCCAAGATGACACCACGAAATGCGGCTGCGTCTTAGGCGTTATATTTCCTTTATCATTCAGGACGCATCTCACGAACGCCATGCGAGGGTAAAAGGCTGAATGCGTTCAGCGATTCTCGGGTTCCTCGTCCGACTCCTTGGCGGGCTCCTTGGCCGACTGCTTCTTAGGTTCCTTGGGGCCCTTGGCCGACTTGGCAGGTTCCTTGGCCGACTGCTTCTTAGGTTCCTTGGCCGACTTGGGTTCGACTTGGCAGGTTCCTTGGCCGACTGCTTCTTAGGTTCTTGACTTGGTAGGTTCCTTGGCCGACTTGCAGGTTCCTTACTGTTCCTTGGCGACTTGCAGGTTCCTTGGCCGACTTGGCAGGTTCCTTGGCACTTGGCAGGTTCACTGCTTCTTAGGTTCCTTGGCCGACTTGGCAGGTTCTTGGCTGCTTCTTTTCCTTGGCCGACTTGGCAGGTTCCTTGGCACTTGGCCTTGGCCGACTTTGGCAGGTTCCTTGGCCGAATTGGCAGGTTCCTTGGCTTGGCAGGTTTCCTTGCCGTTTACTTGGCCCTTGGCTAGGTTCCTTGGCCGACTTGGCAGGTTCCTTGGCCGACTGCTTCTTAGGTTCCTTGGCCGACTTGGCAGGTTCCTTGGCCGACTTGGCAGGTTCCTTGGCCGACTGCTTCTTAGGTTCCTTGGCCGACTTGGCAGGTTCCTTGGCCGACTTGCAGGTTTCCTTGGCTTGACAGGTTCCTTGACTTGGCAGGTTCCTTGGTCGACTTGGCAGGTTCCTTACTTGTTCCTTGGCGACCCTTGGACTTTTCCTTGGTCGACTTGCAGGTTCCTGGCGACTTGGCAGGTTCCTTGGTCCTTGGCAGGTTCCTTGGCCGACTTGCAGGTTCCTTGGTCGACTTGGCAGGTTCCTTGGCCGACTTGCAGGTTCCTTGGCCGACCTCCTTGGCAGGCAGGTTCCTTGGTCTTGGCAGGTTCCTTGGCCGACTTGGTAGGTTCCTTGGTCGACTTGGCAGGTTCCTTGGCCGACTTGACAGGTTCCTTGGTCGACTTGGCAGGTTCCTTGGTCGACTTGGCACCTTGGCAGGTTCCTTGGCCGACTTGACAGGTTCCTTGGTTGACTTGGCAGACTTTGGCACTTGGCAGGTTCCTTGTCGACTGCTTCTTAGGTTCCTTGGCCGACTTTCGTTGGCGACTTGGTTCCTTGGTTCCTTGTTGCCGACTGCTTCTTAGGTTCCTTGGCCGACTTGGCAGGTTCTTTGGCGACTTGGGTTCCTTGGCCGACTTGGCAGGTTCGACTTTCTTAGGTTCCTTGGCCGACTTGGCAGGTTTGGCTGGCGTTGGCCGACTGCTTTTAGGTTCCTTGGCCGACTTGGCAGGTTCGTGGCCGACTTGGCAGGTTCCGGCCTAGGTTCTTGACTTGGTTTGGCACTGCTTCTTAGGTTCCTTGGCCGACTTGCAGCCTGGCCGACTTGGCCCTTGACTTGGCCCTTGGCCGACTTGGCAGGTTCGTTGGCGACTGCTTCTTAGGTTCCTTGGCCGACTTGGCAGGTTCGTTGGCCGACTGCTTCTTAGGTTCCTTGGCCGACTTGGCAGGTTCGTTGGCCGACTTGGCAGGTTCCTTGGCCGACTTGCAGCCTTGGCCGACTTCCTTGGCGACTTGGCAGGTTCCTTGGACTTGGCAGGTTCGTTGGCCGACTGCTTCTTAGGTTCCTTGGCCGACTTGGCAGGTTCCTTGGCCGACTGCTTCTTAGGTTCCTTGGCCGACTTGGGTTCAGGTTCCTTGCCGACTTGGCAGGTCCTTGGCCGACTTGGCAGGATCCTTGGCCGACTTGGCAGGTCCTTGGCCGACTTGGCAGGTTTGGCCGACTTGGCCGACTTGGGCACTCCCTTGGCCGACTTGGCAGGCTTGGCCGACTAGGTTCCTTGGCCGACTTGGCAGGTTCCTTTTCTTGGCCGACTGCTTCTTAGGTTCCTTGACTTGGCAGGTTCCTTGGCCGACTTGGCTTTCCTTGGCCGACTTGGCCCTTGGCCGACTTGGCAGGTCCTTGGCCGACTTGGCAGGTTCCTTGGACTTGGCAGGTTCCTTGGCCGACTTGGCAGGTCCTTGGCCGACTTGGCAGGTTCCTTGGCCGACTTGCAGGTCCTTGGCCGACTAGGTTCCTTGGCCGACTTGGCAGGTTCCTTGGCCGACTTGGCAGGATCCTTGGCCGACTTGGCAGGTTCGTTGGCCGACTGCTTCTTAGGTTCCTTGGCGACTTGGCAGGTTCCTTGGCCGACTGGGTTCCTTGGCCGACTTGGCAGGTTCACAGGTTCCTTACTTGGGTTCGACTGGGCACTGCAGGTTCTTGGCCGACTGCTTCTTAGGTTCCTTGGCCGACTTGGCAGGTTCGTTGGCCGACTGCTGGTTCCTTGGCCGACTTTCCTTGGCCGACTTGGCAGGTTCCTTGGCCGACTTGAGGTTCCTTGGCCGACTTTCCTTGGCGACTTGGGTTCCTTTGGCTTGGCCGACTGCTTCTTAGGTTCCTTGGCCGACTTGGCAGGGTTCCTTGGGACTTGGCAGGTTCCTTGGCGACTGCTTCTTAGGTTCCTTGGCCGACTTGGCAGGTTCTTGGCCGACTTGGCCTTGACTTGGCAGGTTCCTTGGCCGACTTGGCCGACTTGGTTCCTGGCCGACTTGGCAGGTTCCTTGGCCGACTTGGCAGGTTCCTTGGCCGACTTGGCAGGTTCGTTGGCCGACTACTTCTTAGGTTCCTTGGCCGACTTGGCAGGTTCCTTGGCCGACTTCTTAGGTTCCTTGGCCGACTTGGCAGGTTCCTTGGCCGACTGGGTTCCTTGGCCGACTTGGCTTTCCTTGGCCGACTTGGCAGGTTCCTTGGCCGACTGGGTTCCTTGGCCGACTTGGCAGGTTCCTTGGCCGACTGCTTCTTAGGTTCCTTGGCCGACTTGGCAGGTTCCTTGGCCGACTGCTTCTTAGGTTCCTTGGCCGACTTGGCAGGTTCCTTGGCCGACTTGGCAGGTTCCTTGGCCGACTTGGCAGTTCCTTGGCCGACTTGGCAGGTTCCTTGGCCGACTTGGCAGGTTCGTTGGCGACTAGGTTCTTGGCGACTTGGTTCCTTGGCCGACTTTTCACTAGGTTCCTTGGCCTTTGGTTCACTTGGCAGGTTCCTTGGCCGACTTGGCAGGTTCGAAACTTGTTCCTTGGCCGACTTGGCAGGTTCCTTGGCCGACTGCTTCTTAGGTTCCTTGGCCGACTTGGCAGGTTCCTTGGCCGACTTGGCAGGTTCCTTGGCCGACTGCTTCTTAGGTTCCTATGGGTAGGTTCCTTGGCCGACTTGCAAGACTTGGCAGGTTCCTTGGCAACTCCTTGGACTTGGCAGGTTCCTTGGCTTGGCAGGTTCCTTGGTCGACTGCTTCTTAACTTGGCAGGTTCGTTGGGTTCCTTGGCCCTTTGGCACTTGGCAGGTTCCTTGGCCTAGCCTTGGCGACTTGTTCACTGCTTCTTTCCTTGGCCGACTTGGCAAAGATTCCTTGGGCAGACTGCTGGCCGACTTGGCCCTGGCCGACTTGCCACGGAACACTCATTCCTTAATCCGATGCCAATATTCATGTTAGAAAGTACTAAACAATTTTGCTGTATTTATTGAAGAGCCTTTAGATTCTTGGCTTCTGAAAGTACTGTTGAAACCTTATGAAATAAAAACATATGAAATAAGTTCATTGAAGATTATTACAGAAAAAAAGTGTATATTCTTAAGAGATATAAAGAAATATACATCTATTTACTCGAGTATTTGGCAATATTACTTTGTCAGGTCATTAAAATATTCCATAGCAATGTCTGGCACTTAAATTGAATGCTTGCAAGATTCCTCTTCATAATCTACCTGTCAACTACATCGAATGCAATGAAATATTTTCTAGAAACAGTGCTAGTCATACTTTAGAGAGAGAAGTTTAAAAAGACGTGTGTTTTGGATGACAATTTGATAAAATACTGGCGGGATTAGAGGAGTTTTGTTAAGTAATGAATTATCTTTCACTGGTAGAAAACCAACTCCTCATGTCATGTGCTATTTAAAGGAACACTCCTTGCTGAACTGTAAATCGGGTATCTGTTGCAGTATCGCCGGCTGTCCCTTCGTCTCATTTCAGTCCCCTTTTAATCTTGGTTGTCATCATAGTCCCTCTCCTCATGAAGTGCGTTTTTTGTTGAAGAAAATTATACACTTCTGCTAGGTTGAAGTAGGGTAAAAGATAATTAAAAAAAAAAAAAAAAATTATGGATGCTGAAACCAGGAGAATTCAAACAATTTGACAGGCTGTAACTTTATTTCAGATGAGCTGTCATCTTACAATGAAAAAATAAACAATTTTGACCCACTCGCCATCCACAGGCAACCCGTCGAATTCCTTCTCCGTGCCCCATGGCGTCACTCCCATTTCATACTTCTTTGTCGCAATAGGCTGAATCTTTCCCATTAGTAAAAACACTAAAAACATTTTTTGGTATATTCTTCATCCATTCATTAGCATAATTTGTCTCAATTAGTCTATTCTTACTCTATCGAAATGTAACAGAAATGGACTTCATGAAGAAGGATATAGCCAACAAATCAGAAAATAAAATGGGTGTTACTCTTTGACAAAATTGTAAAGCAGTAAAATTCATAGAAGAAAGGCAAAATAAATGGTCTCATTAAAGATAAGATGTTTATAAGGAAAAATCATAATATAAAAAAGAAGAAATAAGGGGTAAAAAACAACAGAATGTCGAGTTGATAAGGATTGCTAGAAAAGTATTGTTATATTGAATATCTTGAGGACAAATTGTTGAAACCTTATAGTCCAGAAATTAGGATGGTATTGTATATCTGTTACTGTGGGACACACGAAGATGGGTAAGTTAGGGTGTAGGAGTGAGGGAAGCATTCCACCCACTTTGTGCCTTGCACTTGTTGCTGCAGCTGCTGTGCCTGTTGCTGATGTCCGCTGAACTTGCATTCATACTCGACCTGGTGAGAGAGGACGGAATCGGTAAGCCTTGATCTGGGTAGATTAGAAGACGCTCCTTTTGAGATTAAAAGACGCTCCTTTTGACTACTAGAAATGGCTAGAGGTAAACGGCAAGTGGAGCTTGAAATCATTCGCAGATTCTTTGCTGGTACTTAGTATTGCCAAGTAAAGAAGAAACATTTGGCGTAAAGAATCAAACTCACCGACGTGGTGATGGGGTGGTTGGCGACGCATTCGGGTCTGCACACTGGCATGGGGCTGAGAGCCTTGCAGTGGTACTGGCCCTCCGTCCTCTCGTGGTACACCCACTCCGTGCAGTCGTACAGGGCTGCCGGAGAAATTGTGGGTGAGAAAAATCATGATCTTTATTTCTTTGTCTTACGAGTAGACGATGTCGTTCTCACTATTCTTTTCTGAAATAATCCATTCCCATTTATGAATGAAGTTTAAGGTTTTATGATTAGATTTTATGATTTAGTCACAAGACCAACCATCGCCATGAGTGACTCCTGTGGGCTCGTGAGCGAAGTGAGGGCAGTCCTCCTGGTACCGGTCCACATCCCGTTTCAAGCTCTTGAAGTTGAAAGCGGCGCATCCTTCTCCAGGCGATGCCCAGGAGAGGGCGAAGAGGTGGGCGTCTGTGTAGTAGCAGCCCTTGGGTCCTACCATGTCGTTGGATGGTTCACCATCGAAGTTTCCACATAAACCAGTAGTGTGACCACGATGGTCCCCCAGCCAAAGTCAAAGGTATTATTTGTACAGTTTAAAACATTTCATTTTCTTTATGAATAATCCTTTTTAACCTTTTTATTATACGAGAAACTAGAACAGTCGCATTTCACAAAGTATGATACTAATTGAAGCTATTTTTAGTATAATTGATTATTTTTAGCTAACTTTATGACCGGAAATTGCACACTAGTAGATCGTACAGAAACCTTTAACGTGGACACTTGCAAAACGTGTTCCACTTTCAATAATAATTGGTGGAACAGTCGCATTTCACAAAGTATGATACTAATTGAAGTTATTTTTAGTATAACTTTATGTCCGGAAATTGCACACTATCTTTCACAGTACCACAATCGACAGGAATACCTTCTCATACTTACCAGCACCTCTACCTTGTCCGAAACTTTAACACGTGTTCCACTTTCGAATAAAATTGTATGGCTGTCATCATGGTGGAAAACGGTGTATCTGTTATCTGTTCCTTTGGCTGGCTCACCATTTACCTGTTTTAGGTGATGTAGGAAGCTGTTACAGCTGGTATGTATAAGGTTTGGAAGCTAATACAAAGGATTAGACTGCATAGAGGAGAGTTATTCATGTCATTATTGTGCAGTTTCAAAAATTATTTGTTTTAGGAATATTTCTGAACATGTGACATTAATATTGATATAACTATCCTGCGTAAATTAACAAATAAAATCAGAGAATTTAGATTATTCAGTTCAAAAATGCATGAAACACATTGATAACGAGAATGATAATAACTGATATTACAAACTCACAAGGAAATTGGTTGGAGACATATCAATCACAAGGCCTTCTTTCTGCCAGATAATGCGGACCTCCCATTGACCTGTGTTACGGACGAGCATGGCCCCTCGCTGGTCAGAGGTCGTGTCAAAGGTTATGGCATTCCAGCACTGACTGGGCTCATAGGAGAACACCTTGCCATCTGCCGTCCGGACCTGGAGTTCATAAGGTTCGAGTTGCATTGAAGGTGCTGAAGCTGATGCAATGGTAAAAGGAAGAACGAAAGAAAGTAGAAGGGAAATATGAGGGAAAGGAGGAAAAGAAATGCAAATATATAGTAGGAGAGAAAAGATAAAGGGGAATATAGACAGAAAATCAGTGGCTCACCATGGAAGCAGAGCACCACATCCACTTTTCAACCCAAGAGCGTGCAAGCTTCCAGATTTCTTTATGGAACGTCACAAGTGACAAATTCCAAATCTTCATCCCCATTTTTTTATGGTTGTAAAATATTTAACAATGCGCCATTTCCTTGGTTGTCTTTTCCAACGATTTTGAGGCACAATCTGTATGTTGCAAGCACTGAGGAAGAATGCTTTGTCATCTCTCCTGGGAAGTTTATCAGCCTAACAGAATGGGAAATTTCGAGTTTTTTTCGTGTCAGCACAAAAAGAAGGTGAAATCATAATTTTCAATGGATGCGGGAACTATGTGTAACCTTCATTTTAGTTATCAAAAAGTTTGTTACTATTTTACTTCATGTTAATGTTTATGTCTGAGAGATTACTAAAATAAATGGAAAGAAGAGAAAGAAAGAATAATGAATAAGCCACTTAACAAAAGAATGTTACTAGAAATATAAACTTGTAAAAAAAGACTAGAGACTCTGTACCTTGCTTTCATCAATGGTGCAGGATACTGGCGTGCGACCGACAGCAAGGTCATAAAGCAGGGTAGTCGCTAAGGGCGCAGGTGTAAAGATCGGGTTGACCCACGCCGGGACTTCCAGATCCTTGATGATGGACACGGCATAGGGCTTCTCTGTCCTCACGGTCCACAGGCCGGTCTCAATGCACCTGGAGATGCAGAGAACACGTCAGTTGAGGTTTGAGGGAGCGTTTGCCAAGGCCTGTGCTTACTCCATTTTGCCAAGGATGCTAATGAGGACATCATCCATGAATAATCATACAGCATAGACAGAGTCTGCATTCAAGTGACTTACTTTGTAGCATCAACTTCAACTCTGGCGTCATAATGTGCGGTGGTGTGGTCGAATTCGATCTTCTTGGATAGGGAAACCTTGATGATGTCATCAACATAGTATGTAAGGTTCTTCAGGCTGTCTGGGAAGTCCTGGAACCAGAAAGATGTTCTGTGAGTTGCAATAACATGGTCAATGCAGGAGGATGTTTAAGCACCAGAGATAGGAGCGACAAGTGGAAGAGACTGTATCTGATGACTTCCAAAGGGCTATGGAACAGGGGCTTCCTTACCGGTGTCCAGGTGGCAGTGATATGAGAGTGGTCGTACAGAGGAGAAGTGATGATATCAATGCCAGGAGCGTAGGTACTGTAGTCGCAGCCCTTCTCTATTGCTTCCTTTACTTTCTCCTTGGCGTCGTTGCTGACATCGAATGAAGCCTGAAAGGAGAAACCAGAAATGTAATGCCACAATGTCCAATCAAACAAAACGTTTATAATACTCATTTGGACGAGTTCTCTTCTCTCCGTCTTACCTCCAGGAGCAAGACCGGCGCTTCCTCACACGTCTCACCCTCGTACAATTCGGCCTTGATTGTGGAATGGTAGTTGGCCGTCAGCACATCCTCAGTGGTGAAGAACGGATTGAAATGCGGCTTCATGATCTGGGCGTTCAGGCAGATCTAGGAGAAGCAGGAGGGGGGTCACAAATCTGACTTTCTGTTGCATATCTCCATACAGAAATAAAACAAATTGACGGTAGAAAATATGCTCAGTGTCAAGAAGACTTTAAGTACCACGCACAGTGTATGGGTCCTCCAGGACGCCGACGGCTGGATGCTTCATGAGTGTCACTTGCACCTTGGAGGATCTTGCTGAACCGGAGCTGGAGATGGCCCAGGTGAGGCTCGCCTCGTAGTTCCTCGTTGGAGTTCCCTGAAGCTCTATTTCCACACTGATGGTTCTCACGTGCCCTCCAGAGGCTGTATAAGAGCAGTTGGAACGTTTTATAGGCAATTCGAAGAACAGTCATAAAAATATTTTCTTGTGGCTAAGGGAAATGTTCAATGATTTTGATAATGAAAATCAGGAAAAAGAGACAAGGCTGTTAGTGTATACAAGTATTTCGTTAAGCAAAACCCTCTCCCATGTTCTTACCAATCAATGCCTGTTGCAGTCTCATGATGCGCTCTCTTGTCTGGCTTTGCGTTCCGAAGCTGTCCACTTCCAGGGTGTCCTGCCCAAAAAATATAAATGGCAGTCTTTTTTATAACGTTAATAGCACCACTGATATGTTTGTCCAAAATCTGACACTACTGTCCTTATCCTTTCTAAACTCAAAGACATTCTCATCACGAGAGAAAATCTTAGCCTGGGCTTGTGAGTTTGCCTTACCTGACTCCCGCCGGCCACCTGTGAGAACTGTCCGAAATCTTCATCGAAGGAACCCTGCGATACCTGGCCGTCGTCGTAGTCGGTTTGGTCAACCAGAGATCCGCTGCCTCCAGTCGACACTGCGGAAGAGGAGAAAGGTGAACGTCAATGGTGGTAGTGAGAACGGAGAGGGGATATCGGTGAGATTTCTGGCAAAAAAGTTGTTGTGTTGCTAGATAATAGCAAATGCCACACAAGGAGATTTACGCAAGACCCAATTATCCATACACAACAGCTTACCGTAGTTAAAGGTGAAGGAGACGGCCTTGGTGGTGGAGAGAGTTGGATCAAAGATCACCTTTTCTTCCCGGGTGTGCGTGGTGATGCTCAGACTGACTAACTGACTGATAAAAAAGAACACTGCATGTGAAGAACATTTACCAAATAAGGCTATACATAATCATTTAAGTAGTCAATTTAATTCTTCTCATGAACGTTGGTGAACATACATGATCCATTCATACACGCTTGGAGTGTGGTGGATGTCACCGTCCGTTACGACTTCGACCCACAGACCCACATCGGAGGGGAAAACTTGGTGTTTATCCTAAAATATTAAAATTAGGAAAAATGAATATGTCTTATGTGCATACGAATGCCATTAAAAAATTGAAGAAAAAAAATAGTAACGATAAATGTTCAGTCTCGACTTGCTATAACACATCATCTCTTACGTTGAACAGAGGAACCTCTCCGTGTAGAATAGGCTTGTATTCATTATCAGTGAGCAACACTTCGCATGGATAGTTGTTCTCAAGGACAGTGAAAGGGACGACCTCACTTTGGATCACGTCAATCTGAAAAAAAATGCACCTTGCTATCTTTCCTTCTTTCCTTTCCCTCCAGTTTTTTTCCTATTTCTACATACGCGTATAGCAATTCAAATCAGCCATCCCAGATCTTCTAACCTTCTCGGTGTTGGTCGGTTCTATAGACAGTTCTATTTCCTGGTTGATCAGGTTGAAGGAGGCGTGGACATTGACTGGCAGCAGGACCTCGGATTTCGCGTAGAGGCCGGAGGTGACGGCAGGTCTCTCCGACCACGGCAGGAAGACTCTTGCTTCCAGGAACAGATCTTGGGATGCCCTGAAGGAGGCAGAGGGAGAGAGAAAGAGAATGGGAGGAGTGAATGGGGGAGAAAGAGAATGAGAGAGAAAGAGAATGGGAGAGAAAGTGAGTGGGAGGGAAAAAGAATGGGAGAGAAAGAGAATGGGAGGAAAGAGAATGAGAGAGAAAGAGAATGGGAGAAAAAGAGAATGAGAGGGAAAGTGAATGAGAGAGAAGAAATGGGAGGAAAGAGAATGGAAGAAGAGAATGGGAGGGAAAGTGAATGGGAGGGAAAGAGAATGGAAGAGAAAGTGAATGGGGGAGAAAGTGAATGAGAGAGAAAGAGAATGGGAGGGAAAGAGAATGAGAGAGAAAGAGAATGGGAGAGAAAGTGAATGAGAGAGAAAGTGAATGAGAGATTTCGGGAGAGATTGCGAAGAGAAATTGCAACCTTGATTCTTTTATCAGCATTGCTTCACACTTATTTCAAAATGGCAAAAATGAACAGACTTACTCAAAAACGAGAGATACGCTGACCTTCACCTTTCCGTCTGAGGAACTATGGTCTGTATGTTGTATATTCAGCGAAATGGCGGATTCATCAACGTACTGTGGAGGAAAAAAACTATATATATACGTGTGTGTGTGTGTGTGTGTAATATGATATATTCATATATATATATATATATATATATATATATATATATATATATATATATATATATATATATATATTTAAATTTATATGTCTGTATGTATGCATATATAACATATATGCATACATGTATATGTATATAATATATATAAATATATATATATATATATATATATATATTATATATAATATATATATATATATATACACATCTATACACACACACACACACACACACACACACACACACACACACACAACACACACAAATATATATATATATATATATATATATATATATATATATATATATATATATATATATATATATACATTAGTTGAAGACTATCAGAAAGAGAAATAATCGATTCCTAATTTCAGATGTGATATCCAAGAATTGTATGATATACATATACCACACGATTCATGATATAAAATGAATTATTGCCTTCTACCTGAAAAACGACTAGATTGTAAAACCTGTTTCGCCTGTTTACGTCTGTTTACCTGAACGTCGAAGGGAAGTCCCGTCTCAGTCGGCAATGCAATGACGGTGAAGAGGTCTCGGTCGAAAATGGGCGTGTGGCGAATGAAGTCTATGGTGTCAGTATTGGCGTAGAAGCCTAGATCTGAAAAATATATATATTATTTATTTTTTATTTATTTTTTTTTTATTTTTTTTTGTGTGTGTGTGTGTGTGATGAATGTTTTTCTTTTTTAGCGTGTGTGGTTGTGTGTGTGTGTGTGCGTGTGTGTGTGCGTGTGCGTGTGCGTGTGTGCGTGCGTGCGTGTGTGTGTGTGTGATGAATATATGTCCAAATATAAGTAAGATCATAAAGATCAGTGCCAACACCTACCTTCACCAACCTTGAAGAGAACCCTATTCAACTTGTACCACATCCTCAAGTACGGAAGGGCTGTAGGCGACGTATATCCGATCTTCTCCTGTTTATAGTAGATAACTATCAGCACATTCGCAATAGCCACTTCCGGTTCAATAGCAGTTATCTCTAATTATCGTTCTCTCTCGAATATCATTACTGATTACAAAACATTAAATTTGATATCTGGAAAATATGAATCGCGGTATTGCATTTAGATAGTTTAGTTCGAGTTAAAATACGTAAATGTGTTACATAAGACTTTAAAAAAGAAAGAAAAATCTACTCCACCTTAAGTTCTTCCCACATGCCTGTAACGATCTCCTGTGTAGAGCTCTGCACCGGCCTCTTGTGGGATTTTTCCATTGCCACTTTCCACCTGTGCAAATACGAGTCCAAACCTCGCTGTTGCAAATCAACCTGCAAATACATTTAATTTACATTTAGATTTAATAAAAAATAATAATAATAAGATTTAGTTTCAATTCCATTTATTACAATGGATATTCTTTTGCTGTGACATACTTTCTGTTTTATTTTGCCTTCTAAATCTCCCCCAGTGTGCAAGGAATGGCCGGGGTTACCATTCACTGGTAGTGCGCAGGATCGAACGCAGGTCAGCAAGATTGCAAGCCCACCACGTTACCACTGGACTTAGACAGGGAAGGTTGCTTGACTTAATATTATCACGCACGCACACGATCTTATAATAACGTGAAGCAATGGTGAACGAAGGCCGACGCACCTTTGTGACTAGTGTGTAGCCGTAGAAGAGTTCCTCCTGGACGCGCACGAACACCTCCTCGGGAACGGGTCCGTGAACGCTGGCGAACCAAGCGAAGTTGACTCGTGACCCGTGCTGAGAGGGCAAGCATAATGTGAATTTGTGACAGCAGCAACATTACAATTGGAGCTGTTTGATTATGTATTTACAGTATGCACTGTATACCAGGGAGAAAATTCTGGGTTTTCATAACTTTCCTTTTTTCTGTTCATCATTTATAGTATGGAAAGTATCCAAAGAATTCCATGTGATTAATAATGCATCAGTAAATATATTCTTAGCTTTTATGGTGTTAATGAAAAAAAAATAAGAGGGAATACATATTCCTGAATAACCCACCTCCTCTGAGAAGAGGTACTCGTGCAGGAAGAAGTTGGTCGATTGAAGAATGGACGACGGGGCGGCAGGTTTGCACAGGTGCTTGACGCGGGAGACTGTGTCTGCCCTGGGGGGACAAGAGCTCATGAAGGGACATGCAACGCTTTTAAAGGCGTTCAAGTTACATACCGAGACTTTACACTTTCGGGAACAAAGATGTTCGCCCCGTGTTGATTCAGTTCTGTTCTCATGAAATGACTAAGCTTCAAGTAATCGCTACTATGTATTCGCCGTGTTCGATCCCCATTAACAAAATATCTCACATCTTACAGTTTCGTGTGGCTGTCGGCGATGGAGTAGATGGTCGTGGTGACGAAGTTGGCGAACTGGGGCGACGGGTCATGCCAGGTCGAAACCGCCAACTGCTGCCACCAGGCGTGGCCAGGACCCCAGGTTGCCAGCGTGAGGAAAGCGATGTTTCGGATCTCAAACTGCTCCCCTTTGTTCTCGATGATCGGCATCAGGATTTCGTAGATCTGAGAGGAAGTGTAGAGGAAAAAAGCTTGAATTTCTTCTAAATGCATTTTTTTCTTCTTTTTTAGTTTCCCCTTGCTTCTTCTCAAGAGGCATTCCGTAAAGGATTATCCCAGGTGATCTTCGCATAGTCTGAGGCCAGCCAGATGCGTCATGATAGCCCTTACCTGCGAGAGGGCGGACTTCTGCATGTTGTAAGCGCTCAGACTCCAGATGGCATTCGTCCTCATGAAGATGTTGGTTTCGGTGACGCCAAGGATGATGGGCTTCAGTACGTTGATTGTCTGCGGAGTCCCCAGGTTGCTCAGCGCCTGAAGGTATATGAGCCGCTGCCAGACGTCCTTCTCCTGATTCTGAAAGATTGACGGCACCCATTACAGAACTGAAGAGGAAAAGAGCTGTGGGCAGATAAAAGGTATGAAAGGAAGTGAAGGAGAGAAAATGAACTGTGGACAGAGAAAAGGTTTGGACGGCAGCCATTACAGAGCTTCTCCAAAGATGAGCCTTCCCTCCGGTGTCAAATATGCGCGACTGGTAACGCATGAGCAGTGGAAAGGCGAAAGGGCTGTGGCACAAAAGGTTATGAAGGAAGTGAAGAAGAGGAAATGAGCTGTGAGTAGACAAAAAGTTGCTTACCCCAAGGTTTCGCACGAGGTACGGGATGAAGGTGGTGATGATGAGCTCGGGGTCGCACGTGCTCTTCGGGCCGCAGCTGTAGTCGAAGTAGAAGTGCTTCCTGTCCTCGCTGAGGCACGCGTCGTGGGCCAAAGTGGCGAAGTTCATGACGCCGATGGAATGGTCCACACCTTCCCCCTCGTTCAACAACATATTCTGTCACCGAGAACACATTGTGAGAACTTACAAAAATAAAGCATTGCTATTTATCATGCTGAGCTATGTATAATATTTCCACCTTGGCAAAAGGGTTATGTAAATTTTGAGCAAATGAAACAAGAAAAAAAAAACATATTAAAGCTTATCTGAAACCTTGATTTACATAAGACAACGAAAATCAGTTTCATGAGTTTTTTTTTTCTAACTTTGGTACTTTTTTCGTTTTATTTCTAAAACTGTATCTCTGGACATCCGTTTTTCCTATTTGTAACCGTCAGTTGAAAAGCATTTAGCAAGATCCAAAAACGTAGCGGGACTTGACTGTCAGTAGTATTAGTTTACATTTTGTCGGAATCGAGAGAGCACCGTTTGTATTAATGAAGTCTCTGATAAAAGACGTCACAGTGCCAGATGTGTGTGTGGAATCAGCAAGCACCTCGACAAGTGTAATGAAATAAAGGCTAATATAAGCAGGTGCGAGGAGGATCAAAACAACCACAAAATTAGACCAGTCAACAATGAATTAGTGAGGAAACAAGCATTATCATACTTTGTAGAAGAATACTGATTGAATGCAATGTACCATCTTCAGTGTATATTATCGACAAACATTAGTGACATTTCTATGTTAATTTTTTACCTTTGATATTTTTTTTTATTATGCTTGCATGTTTATCATAAAGGTAAATATTGCAGATTATGTTCAAAAAGAGTAAAAGCGAATAAAGAAGTCTGAACAGTAATTCTCAATCATTTCAGTGTTTGAAAAAATGGAATGAAAAAGGCAATACTTTATCGACCCTGTGATATGTAATATCGTCGACTTACTATTCACACCTACCAAGATCTTAGGAATCGCTGCTGGACTGCGAACGTTGGCCACAATGACGCTGTAGAAATCTATTTCAAGTACTAGTTCTTTCACGTTATCGACTACAAAGGTGACTGCGGGTTCTGTTCCGGCGAATATCACCAGCTGTGCGAAGATGTATCTGGAACGAAGGAGAATAATGTTCATGGGTCACCTCATGTCCTTTAATGAGAAAGTGTACTTTGTTACCGTTTCAAGCATCCACACACACGCACGCACGCACACACACACACACACACACACACACACACACACACACACACACACGCACGCACGCACGCACGCACACACAACACACACATATATATATTATATATATATATAATATAATATATATATATATATATATATATATATATTTATATATATATTATTATATATTTATATAATTATATATGTACATATATGTGTGTATGTATGCGCGCGCGCGCACGTGTGTGTGTGTGTGTGTGTGTGTGTGTGTGTGTGTGTGTGTGTGTGTGTGTGTGTGTGTGTGTGTGTGTGTGTGTGTGTGTGTTGTGTGTGTGTGTCGTGTGTGTGTGCGTGTGTGTTTGTGTTTGTGTGCTTATACACAGACACACAGACAGTTTGACCTGGTTATCGCTATAGCACATCCGGAGAAAAACAGTCCGGACCTTACTTGTGGACGGTGCCTTTGCCTTCGAAGTGGCTGTAAAGGGTCTGAATGTGTGGATAGTCGAGGTTGGCGACGGCTTCGACGAGGCGGCCAATCATGTAACTGAGGCTGTAAGACCCAACCGGCTGTTTCTCCTTTCGTTTCGTGAGGTCGTCGACGGTTTTCTTGATGTATTCCTGGAAGACGTATTTGTCAGTCGGATTTCTCCTTCTTACAAGGGTTATTAGTTAGTGAACAATTTTCTATTCTTTCATTCTTTCTTAGCTTTGTCTTGACCTGCACTGACGCCATTGGTGGTATAAATCTCGATTTTTTTCAGTGTGGCTCTTTATATAGCTTACTGTTATAATGATAATAATAATGACAAATCACCATTTCATTTCAGAATAAGGAAGTCGACCTACCATTAAGTTATTGACAATTTGGTCTGTGATCGGCCTGCCTGTGAGGACCTGCTCCAGTGGGATGAATTGGTCGCCCTGTTGGAAGGGTAATCTTAGCATATATATATATATAGATGGATAGAGAGAGAGAGAGAGAGAGAGAGAGAGAGAGAGAGAGAGAGAGAGAGAGAGAGAGAGAGAGAGAGAAGATGGTTATATTTTTTACACAGTCCAAAACTAAGGTACAACATATTGCTATTTTAGCGAAACCTATAAGGTGCCTAACTGCATTTAATAATGGGACGAACCTGTGGCCTTTCGATATCGTAGTGCCAATTGTAGTGAGGATGGACTTCATAAGTAATAGTGATGGGCTCGCCAACCTCACGCACAGCCTTCAGCTCCAGGGTCTGACGAAGGGAAAAAAATCTGTTAGACTGAAACTTCACTGACAGTATAAGGTCGTATCATATCCTCAATCTCATATCTGCCCGTATCTGTAGCGACGACCCAACAACAAACCTGGTTGGTGAAGGTGTCCACATGCTCATTTCTCTCTTTGTTCGTCAAGACGCTGATGGTTCCCTCCACCACGGCTTGCTCGATCCTTCGGTGCGTGTCTCCGCGGATGAGGTAACTTGCCACGGAGCTCCTCTGAATGATCTCCTCCGTGTACTTGCTGCTGTGGATCTGGGGACAGAGGGAGAGGTGGATATGCAGGCTAAGCAATGATAATGATAAACAGACAGACAGAGAGAAGCAAAAGTATTTGAATCATATCTGAGTCATCTGCCAAAAATCTGTTCCTACTTTATGGACTCTCGAGAAGCGATATCAAATGGACGACGATTCACGAAGACCTAAAATGATGGCTCTTTAGAAAGGAACCTTTAAGGAATCAAAAGCAAACAGACTGTGACTCCATACCTCCAGAGACAGCAAGTTTTCACACATGCCGAAGTCCGTGGTTCTCCTGATGGACCAGAGTGTATCCTCAATATGAGGAACGTTCGCCAGCTGACCTGGAGACGTTTTGCCGGTCTTGCTAGTCTTTGAAGGAGTCTTGGAGGAAGTCTTGGAAGACTTGCTAGTCTTCGATGTGGTTTTTGTGGTGTAGCTACCGAGAGCGAGACAATTTTGTTACTGATCTCGTTTCACAGACATCTTTAGGAATAGCTACGATGGTCTACATGACAATGGAGGAAATCTGAGAAAACTAGAGTATATTGATGGCAGTATTAGTAATAAGTATGTTAACATTTTCTTTAAAAGTTGATTATGTTATCTGAATAAGAAAATATCTAATTGCTGACACATCATACCAAGCCAGCCTTTCTCTAGAACTTGAAGGAGTTTACTGGTAATTCAACGTGTTTACATACCTGGAGGAGTAGGCATCCCGCTGGATGTCCTCCTCCATGAAGTGTTCGCGTTGGACGTTGATCTCTTCAGCCAGGTTGATTGGGTATTTCAGCGACGAGTACCTGGAAGGACAGGAAAGAGGGAGTTGCCTGTCTGTTCTCTCGTTCTGTTACGTGCTTGTTCTTTTTGCTTTGTACAGAGGCTTACAGGAATGTTAGCTTGGACTTTAAAAGGCCTTTCTTTTACTGAGGTACTTACTGTGATCCAATACACAGCCACCCACCCAAACATATACTACAGCCATACCCAAACCCAACGCACACAAAAATAAACTCTCTCTCTCTCTCTCCACACACTCACACACACACAGACACACAAACACTCAAATCTAATGATCCTGTTCCCGACTTACCAGTTCTGGCAACGTCCGACCAGAGTTTCCTCTAGGGAACCGTAGTTAAGCTTGGTGGAGTGTGCCTCAGTATTCTGAAAAGGCAGAGGCACCCTCTTAGAAGAGCCATAGAGCCGTTTCATGCAGGTCTCACCCTCAAATTGAGTCTCTGTGTCACAGGCTAACTGTCAAGGAATATACTTCACAGATTGACTTTACTATAGACACTCATTCTTGCCTTACCCAGAGCACTGGCACCCTGAAGATGTTGACGAAGGCCTTCCTCATGTTGGAGATCCAGACGGGTTCGTCAGGCCCTTCCATGTGGTCTGGGATCTGATGGGGAAAGGCATCCTGAATGCACACTTGCACGGACTTCTTTCATCATAACACTTATTTCCGGATCTGCTATTGGTAATAATGGGAAATCAACTTGTTGCACTGAAAACATTGACAGCTTTGTCACTTACACCTGACTCGTTCATGACGACTCTGAAGGGCTTCTCGAGGAGGTCGACGTAGTCCTCCAGGGGATGGTACTCGAGGGGCAGAGGAGCCCGCAGGTCGCAGTCCAGGACCTTGTTCAAGTCTCCAACCTCGATGTTGCTGAACTGGAAGGAAGGTGGCGCCACGGTCAACACAGAGAAAGCATCGGTGTAGGATTCGAAAATCTCACTTTACACTTAT